TAAACTTATCCCCTTAACTAACTACCCTTTTTGTTAAACTTCTACCCAGAAATGTGAGCGTGTAATTTATCTTTTCATGCATGAGATAAAGCTTACCTCCCTTTATTATCTTTTCAATTGTCCTCTTTGTCAGAGAGTCGATGTTGAAACCACACTCTATGGCCACCGGTCACGGGGGGTAGCACTGGCTGCCTATCGCCTCCGGCGATAATAGTCCCGTCGATGTTGTCAGTCCACCGTCACCCTTTCCTTCAGGCAATCTTTTTCACTAGGCATTTCCGTAGGCATCCTTCTATCAAGATTGACTCCATGAGGCAACACTCTTTACTGGGCATTTCTCATAGTGGGCATCGGCGATGATTCTTTTCACTAGCATAGCAGTCTTCCTTCCATCCTGTCAGGCTGCGACAATTTGTGAGACATTTTGTCTCTTGGTTCGTTTTTAAAGACTCCTCATTAAGGATGACCAAGGATTATTTCAATTATAGCTTATTTATTATTAAATTCTTGATTATAGAATTATTTACAGAAAAGTTACAAATAGATACATGAGCTGTTGAGTATAATGTTCTTGGAGCGCAACTGCTCCCTTTCTTTTTCGTTCACACTCATTCTATCATCGTTCCATTACAACTCTACTCTTCGGCGTTCAAAACGAATCTCTTCTCTAAAAAATCCTCTTTCCCATAAGAAACAGTCCTTTGCTCCACCCCCAATGAAGGGGACGACACCTCCAGTGTCCTTCACCCTCTGACCCTCAGGTCAAGGGGTCAATCAAATGCGTGGGAGAGGAATCAGGATCCTGACACTACTAATTTGTTAAAACAAAAATAGGAACACAAAGCATGATCCAGGGTGACAAGAACCTGGAAATTTTACGCGCAAAAAATCGATATCAATCTATAAACCATACATGCTTCATATTTAACATAATTTTTTTGAATTAACATTTTTAATTAAATTACCTACTAATAAAGAATATCACACCAGTAATTTTCGCGATATTGAATTTTAAACTCGCGTGAATACGGATTGCGATATTGGATTTTTAAATTGAGTGAATAGGAATCGAAATGTACGATCTTTACATAGCGTGAATACGAATCGCGACGTATAATTTTTAAATCAGGTAAATACGAAAATCAATTAATGATAATAAAATCGCGTGAATAAGAATCGCAATATTTACAGGTTCCAAATATTCAAAAGGGCCAAACCAAAAGAAACTAATTGAGGAAGAATGATGTATGCAACCGTCTTGTTAACGGGTTTTAGCAAAAGTTTCAAAATTTCGTCGGATTATAAGTTTTTGATTCGCAGAAATCCGTGAATCAATGGTCTTGAGATACGCGGAATTCTACGATATTCGCAGAAAAATCACGTGCGCTGCTTCTAGTTTCAATCAACTTCCAGTTTTAAGAAGTTTGCTACTAGTTTAAAAAAAATCAGTATAAGGAGAGAAGAGGCGCTAGAATAACCAGAACATTTTGCCCCAAAATCGTGTTTCCGAAACAAGGCTAAAACAGAGGAACAAGTACGATTTAATGGGATCAACAGTTGACATAGGAACAAATACGATTTACTTACAATCAACAGTTGACAGCTATGGTTAACTTCAACGAGCTTAACGATTACCTGGATTTGAAAATTAATCAATTGCAGTTAGAAAAAATATATATAATTATACTTAGGGGTGCAGAATATGTGGCACAATAAGAAGTGATAAATTAGACTCGTTTAACAATACATAAAATGCTGTACCCTATAACAAGACATATTGAAAATTGTTGGAAAAATATCTGGTAGCATTTATCTCTCTTTTTTCTTATTTATAAATTTTTTGGTCACTTTTGATATTAGTCAAGCTTGAGCTTATAAAATTAAGATCTCGAGAGTGATAAATTTTTTCAAAAGAAGAAATACTTATTATTTAAAATGAAAAAAAAAAAAAAAANAACTTAAAACTATTTGTAAAATACAAAAAAAAAAAAAAAAAAAAAATGTGAAAAAGCACTTGAAATTACAATAACTTCAGAATCATTAGAATTAAAAAAAAAAAAGAAAAAAAAAACTCGCATTATATTAATAAATGAAAATGGGCCCTTATACAAGTTAATTTTCAACTCTATACAGTCTCGTTTATATAAGCTATAGATCAGCCCCTATAGTATTTTTTAGTACAAACTTAAGTTTATAATTTTCGAACTAATAATACAAACTTAAATTTTTTTTTATGCCACTATACTCCTTGTATATTTTCCTACCAAACATTCACGCTTCTAAGACTTATAGTTTTGGCATAGCAAAATAAAAAATTAGTAAAGTTTGAAGCCTAAAATATGCGTTGTGGAGCTTACATTTTTTAATGCAGAGATTTATAAGACTAAAGCTACATAGATACTAACTATCCACATAAATATAAGAATAAATTTTGGCAAAAAAGTTAGTTACACCAGCTTTTTGCAGTGCATCGATTCCTCACAGTAACTGCAATAGCCTATATTAATTTTGTTCTCTGATTGTGCCCAATAGTTGCTATTTCGAAAACATTGTTTTCTACTCAGAAGAGCCAGCTGTTGACAAATTCTGTAACTAATTTTGAGACCGGGTGATAATAAATGACTTGTTTTCTAAGCAAAAAACACCAAATTGTACATTTCCTTCTCCTTTTTAAATCAATTTTACAAATTATATTTTATTTTCTGAATACATGGTAACTTGTCTATAATTTAAAAAAAAAATAAGAAAGAAAATAAAAAGATTAAGTCAATAAGAAACTTAAAATTTTATTTACAAATGTACAAAACTGATTTACAATGGCGATAAAAATAAATCTGACTAGATTGTTATCACCTTCTCCTCCAAGCAGGCATCGATCTGTAACGTCTCGGGGAACGAGAGCGACTTCTTGAGCTAAAAAAACATTGAAATAATATTAAACATCCAAAAAATAAACAAATAAAAGAAAGAAAAAGCATAAACAAATTTTCTGTGGAATAAATACCGGTTAATATTTGCATAAGCAGCAGGAAGCTGCTTCTCCTTCTCCCGTTTAGACTTCTCCAATTTGTAGTGTTTGGGTGGAGATTTTGAGCGATGCCTATCTTTCACTCGCCTGGCTGACTTGGATGAACGCGACCTGTCTCTACTGCGTGATCGAGACTTTCTTTTTCTCTTCTTCTTCTTTTCAGGCTTTGAGGATATGTTTTTGTCTGAATCACTACTCGGTTTATCAGAAACTCTAGAGGAGGGCTCTTCTGGTGCAGATCCATCTGAATTACCATCCAGCCAATCTGTTTTGATACCAGGAATGATGGTGGTGGAACCAGAATCTTCAGTTGATATGATGCTAAATATAAAAGAAAGGAAGATCAATGAATAAATAAAAAAAAACTTAATTCGAGCCACCACATTTTCCTTCCCCCATTGCTAAATGCCACTGTATTTTTACTGCCCTTTCTGACTAGTTAGAGGCTCTACCGGTCTATAGCCCTTAGCCTGATGATAATGCTAGTTTCAATGGTTTCCTGACCACTACAAGCAGAATTTATGTTCTTTTTTCTGCCAAAATATCACCCATCGAAACTCAGACGAGCAAGAGTTCTGAAATTCCTATTGTGTCTGAACATAAACATTCCTATTGTGTCTAAAACATAAGTGTATACTTGGGTAATTTATAAGAGGTGACAATGTTCGAAACAATGAGTCTAAAAGTAGTAACAGCCATATGAATTACTCTAATTAAAGAGGAAAACTAAGGTCTTCATTAGTTATTGAATGTGAAGGAACATTTCAAATGATCAGGAATGATATAAGTATCTTCAAATACAAATTTAATATGAAGTTCTTATAATACATGAATATATGATAATACATAAAAACAAATAATTTTTTTTTAACAAAAAACAGACATATTTAAAAATTTAATTTATTGTATTAGTAATTAAAGAGTCACATTATGTGAACATCACATATCTAATTTGTGATTAAGAAAAGAACCAAAAAATGAAACAGGAAGCATAATTTTTAAAAACAATTATTACTAACTTATAAGCAAATAGTATTATTGAACTGCACACAAGGTCATATTAATGAAAAAAATTAAAACAAGAAATTGTTAAATGTTATGCAAATGAATATTTTTAATTTAAAAATCAAGAAAATTTAATAATATTGCAGAGAAATTTTTACAAAAGATAATAATGATAATAATAACAGATCGATTAATTTATATTAATTGCCTATTTTTAGAGTCAATTTTAAGATTGCATGTTTGTCGCAGATTTGACTAAAAAATGCATTAAAATTAGTATAATTTTTTTGCCAGTTTTTGCTATAAAATTGTATCAATTATACAACAACCTCCCTATTGAATTTTTTGACAATTCTAGATTTCACAAATAACTCTGTGGGAGCGATGAATAGAAACAGATTTAGCAAAATTTTCAGAAAAATATTTATTTTAAAATATAGTTTAATGTATTTAGTGCAAAAATGTCCAATTTAGAGAATGTTGGATAAGATATCATATTGCTTAACTAAGAATGAAAAGTTAGCGGAAATAAAAAATAATATTAAATACTTACATTTTGTTTAAAGGAAACAGAATTCCAGGCTCTGGCGTAGGTTGGTTTGATGTGTCAGGAAGTGACCAAAATTCTGTAATCTTAGTTATTTTGCCATCTTGAATATCATTTTTCTTTGCATTTTTTAGAAGAGCTGGTACAGCAGCAGTGGCAGCAGAATCTGGATCTCTCCTTTGCAGCATTTTCAGAAATAGAGCTGCTTTTCGTTTCCTTTCAAGTTGAAGTTCTTTATCTTTTTTCTGCTGCTCAAAGAGTTGCTGTTTTTCTTTTTTAAGCTGTTCAGCGCGCTGTTGTTGTTCAAGCTGTAACTGTTTTTCTTTCCTTTGATGAGCTAATCTTTCTCTTGCAGTTGCCAATAACTTATCTTTAATACGTTCTTCAGCTAAAAGGAAAAAAATGCAAGAAAAGAGTGATGATAAAATGTGTTGTTTTTCTTTTTTCGTATTATTAATTTAAACTTTTAAATAATGAATAGTTAAACTAAAATTGATAAATAGAAGTTGTAACAGTAGATAGCAATATTAATTAATAAATAGTAGAGTTGATAAGTAAAGAAAAGTTATAATTTAAAAAGTTTAATAACACATAATTAATTTCATGTTAATTAAGTTATTGTGAACCAGCAGTATCTATATTCATACTCAATGTTTCGATAATCAGTTTTACAAAACAAGACTTTTTTTTTACTACTAATCACATATATGGAGGGTAATGCCTGCCACCTCCACACGGCGCCCCCTGGATACCCCTCACTGGGTAACTGAATGGCAGGCAACCAACATGATGAGAGAAAGTAAAGCTTTGGATACGGCATCATCCATCGCGCAGGTTAACAAGGCAAGTGCTCAGGAATTAGGCAGAGGTTCCTGTACGAAAAGTTCTTCACAGCCTCCAGTAGCACATGGTAAATGGTAAGCCCTCGGGTGAGCCCAGTGCTTATACTGCTGCTTTGCAGTCTACTTCGAAAGCTGGTGAGGCGTCCAAAGGTACAGGCCCTTCCTCTGTAGGAGTCTCTGGTCCACAGAGGCACTCAGGGGACAGTGTGTCTGGCACCACAGTAATCACCTCCAAAGAGGAGCGTTGGTATTGCAGTGCAACAAGTACACTGTAGGAAAGGCCACTTTAATGGAAAAGCCTTGGGAAACCTTATGCTCAAAGTTTTAAATGCTGATGAGCTACCCAGGCCTGTGAAGGTAGCTTTTAAGACCAGAGAGCGATTCTCTGAATTCACTTTTCTGTGGCATCTTCAGAGACTAAACCCAGGGTTGAAGTCTGTGCGGTGGAGGGTTCTGCAAAGGGCTGCGGGACCGGGCACCTCCAGATGGATCTTTGAGATGGAGCCTGAAGACGTGGAAGCTATTGTGAGAGTAAATTTTTGTGCACTTACTGGAGTGGATCGTGGTGTCTTTAAGATTATCCACCATCCTAACAGTAAAAAAGCAGCTGAGGCTTCAACAACATCGAATGTCGTGTCTTTCGAACCTGATGACCAGGAGGAAATAGATCAGGAGGATGAACCTTGGAAGGCTAATTCCCCTGATTTCAAGGTAAGTTCAATTGGGGCTCTTGATTTTTCAGAGATAGGGTCGGACCCCAAGTCAGACGTAACCTTATGACCTGACTCACCAGCTTCTATGCTTGGTGTTGCCGAAGCATTAGAGCTGTTAAGGGAAGATCTGTCTTCTAATTATAACCAGGGTAGGTAGGTGCTATTCTGGTTTCATTTATACTGCTAACCAATTGTGGCAACAATCAAGGTCAGATTAATCTCCATCATAGCATTGCTGCCTCTAGCCTTATGGCTAAAAGGTTAAATGATGGAGAACTAGATATTGCTCTCATACAAGAGCCGTGGACCCGAAAGGGTAGAATTATGGGTCTCAATGTTAAAGGTTCTAATATTTTTTATGATACCCGTTGTGACCTTCCCAGGGCCTGCATAGTGGCTAGGACAAATCTAAATGCCCTTAATCTTGTCAACTTTCTTAACAGGGATTTAGTTGCTGTAAAGCTAAAATTCTATGACAATGAGACAATCTCTGACTTTGTCATAGTTTCAGCCTATCTCCCCTATGAGGAGAAGGACCCTATGGCTGACATTACTAGGGCTTTAATTGGCTACTGTAGTTCAAGCTGTAGATTCATCTTCAGCTGTGATGCAAATACTCACCACACAGTGTGGGGTAGCAGTGATTGTAACCAGCGGGGAGATGTTCTTATGGAACATATATTACATTTTAATTTGTATGTCCTTAATAAAGGCAATGAACCTACCTTTGTTACAAGTAACAGAAGGGAAGTCATTGACCTCACTTTATGTATCTATTTCTGTAGATTAAGTTACTGATTGGAAGGTATCTGGGGCAGTTACTGCTTCAGATCACCAACTAATTACTTTTTCCATTAAAGGCCTCTCAGGACTGAAGGTCATAAAGAGGAATCCCAGAACAGCTGATTGGGGTTCCTTTAGAGCAGCACTGGAGAGGAAGATAGGGGGCTTCTCCGGTAAGTACAATAATGTTAATGATGTGGAGTGGACTGTTGACCAAGTGCAACAGATCATACTTGATTCATATCATATTTCATGTAATGTTACGTCCACTAGCTCCCCAAGGCGAGTTCCTTGGTGGTTTTCTGAGCTTAGTAAATTATGTGAGAAATGTAGGAAGTTAGTTAACAGAGCAAAGAAATCTGGAGAATGGCAGTCCTACAGAAACGCTCTAACTGCTTATAATAAGGCTATCAGAGCGTCTAAATGTCGCTCTTGGCAGACTTTCTGTGGTGGTATTAACACTACTTTTGCCACCGCAAAGATTGCAAAAATTCTTACAAAAGATTTTAAATGCCATTCGTCTTACAAACGGAAGATACAGTGAATCAGGGGAAGAGGCTCTTGGAGAATTACTTGAAGCACACTTCCCTGGATCTCATCCTGTGGAGAATGAACATCTACATGTTATTCCGACAACTACTTGTAGTAAGTATGACTGGGAGGTGCTGGTCTCCCATGAGAAGGTTGTATGGGCTATAAAGTCGTTTAAGCCCTACAAGTCACCAGGCATGGATGACATCACACGAATGATGCTTATTCAGGGGGTGAATATACTAGCCCCTACTCCATGCAGGATTTTTCAATCCTGTATAGCATTCGATATATACCTTTCTCTTGGAGAAATGCCAAGGTAGTTTTCATACCAAAACCAGGTAAGGAAAGTTACTTTGAGGCTAAATCATTCAGACTAATCAGCCTCACTTCCTGTCTGTTTAAAGCTATGGAAAAGCTAATTGACAGATACTTCAGAGACACACGAGCTCTCCTACCTGCTTGAGAAATCTATCACAGATAGAGAGGTTGCTCTTGAGGTATTTATTGATATTGAAGGTGCGTTTGATAAAGTCCCTCTTGAGACTATCATCAATGCACTTAGAAACAGAAGCATAAACTCAATAATTACTAGGTGGATAGCCAGTTTGCTATCCTCTAGGTATGTTTGTTCCTCTTTATTGGGCGCAAGCATGAAAGTGCATGCAACCGCAGGGTGCCCCCAGGGAGGGGTTTTGTCCCCTATCCTATGGTGTATGGGTACGCTGATGAGGGTGTTATTGTTGTCAGAGGCAAACATGGTAAAGCAATCTCTGATATCATGAATAATGCACTTCTAGAAATAGCTAGATGGTGCTCTGATTCTGGCTTATCTGTCAATCCATCCAAGATAAGCTGTGTAGTCTTCACACGAAAAAGGCAACTTGATCTAGGTAATGTATACTACCTGGATTATAAATTGGAACTCATGGAGAAAGTCAGGTTTTTCAGGGTTTATTTTGACTCCAAACTAAATTGGGGTTATCATCTTGAATACTGTACCAACAGGGCCAGAAAGATTTTCTGGTTTTGCAGAAATGCTATTGGTAGAACCTGGGGATTATCCCCCAAAATAATTTACTGGATATACTCAATGATTATCAGTCCTAGCATCACTAATGGCACAGTCGTCTGGTGATCGAAGACTAGATTGAGCTCCGCAAGGTCTAATTTTAATAGACTACAAAGAATGGTCTGTGAAGTCCTGTCAGGCTGTCTTAGGACCACTCCTACAGCTGCTCTAGAGAGCTTACGTGGGTTTCTTCCATTGAACGTATGCATTGAAGTTGAAGCTCAGACAGGCATAAAGCGTCTTATGTACCTTGGCCTATGGAAAGAGTATTCCAAACACGTGTCATGGGGTCATTTTGTTTCACAAGTGATGGATATACCCTCTTTTATTATGCCTAGTGACTTTATGTCACTAAGATATGCTTTTCATAAGCCTTTCAAGATCCATTTTCCTACTAGAGATGAATGATTTAATTCTCCTCGGTGGCTTAAAGGCAAATGTCTAATATGGTACGCTGATGGTTCAAAGATTGGTGCCAAATCAGGAGTAGGAATTTATTGCTCCAATGACGATACCAAACTTCATTTTCCTTTGGGAAACTATGCCACTGTTTTTCAGGCTTTGGTCTATGCCATTATCTTGCGCTACAAGATATGCTTAGACAAAGGATATAAAAATACGACTATCCGCATCTGTTCTGACAGTCAGGCTGCTCTCCTATCACTGTCAAGGTGTAAATTCACCTCTTTGTTAGTGTGGGAATGCTTCTCGGTCCTCTGTGACCTATCCACTCATAACAGGGTATTCCTGCATTGGGTACCTGGACATACGGGTATCGGTGGAAATGAGCTAGCTGATGAAGCGGCACGGGCTGGCTCGAATGCAATTTTCTGGAGCCCTGAACCTGCACTTGGAATTTCTCCCACCTCATTCAGGGCATCCATATTCAAGTTCTATGGCAAAATTGCCCATGAGTAATGGCGAGCTGCTGACGGTCAGAGACAAGCTAAGGAGCTAAATCGTGACTGTCCTAGTGTACGTCAAAAAGACCTTTTAAAGCTTAATAGAAACAGTTTAAGGAAGATCATTGGTCTTCTTACTGGACACTGCATCCTCAGGAGACACCTATACATAATGGGAATATAATCCAATTAACTTTGTCGGGGTTGTCATCTTGAAGAAGAGACATCACGACACATACTCTGTGATTGTGAGGCCTATTCTGCTCAAAGATTTGAGCATTTAGGGTAGCATTGCGTCAATGCCTGGGAACTGCAAGATGTTCCTGTAAGGTGTCTGCTGAATCAGCTATAGGGCTTTCATGCTAATCATGATTTAGGGTTTGGGTACAATAGATCTCTGGTCGATGTGCCCTGCTCGTTAGAGCTGCCCAACCTCTAAGTCTAATCACATATATAGCAGCGGTATTCGCACTATTCTTTAAACAATTAGAGAAAAAGTTCAATTAATTACAGTTTTTAAAAATTAAAAATATTTGCTGCAAAATTTTGACAAGAAAACTTTTGTAAAACTATTTTAAAGTATTACACTAACTATACAATTATTTGCATTTATCATTATGTATAAAAAATAGTTTTTATTTTAAAATTTCCACAATTTAATTTTTAAAAAAAATAAAATTAATCAAACTAGAAAATAAGAGCCTAAATTAATCAAGCATTTTTTATTATAAATCACACAAAACTCGAAGCTATGATAAGTTCTATCGTAACTTTGAAATTACTTTAAGTAATGAGCGTTTTAATGAATTTGATCAACCCTATTGAGGCATTTCAACAATGTTTTTTTATACAGTTAGTTATTTGAAACTAAAGATCAATGATGAAGTAGAGTTTGAAAGAGTCTCCGAATTTTTTAAAAAAGAGGGTTTTATTACAAATACTTTTATTGAAACTGAAATTAAGGGCAAACTTACAACAGAAGTTTTTTCTCACTCCAGAAAATAATTAGATCACATTATAAATCATGCATGTTAAAACTATAAATCTACAAAAGTGAAACCTGCACAATTCAATAAAGAAAAATTACTTCTAACTTGGGTAAGAAAAATAACAAAACAAAAAAAAAAAAAAAAATTGGACCTATAAAGGATGGCCTTGTTTGGAGAATGAAAACAAACTTAAAAAGAAAAATTATTGAGTACTTGAGCAACACATAAAATTCATGAAAGTTAAAAGCTATAAAAAGAAAGTCGACAATCGAAAAGTTTGGAGATGTTTGGTGAGGGAGGATTTTTCATTGATAAGAAATAAAGTATGAGCTATGCATTTTTCTTTACCTGTATAAAAAGTAAACAGTAATTACATTAAAGATTTAAGATTTTCTTTTAAAATTATTGTTTATAATGGTGTAAGTGTGAGTATGTATGTCTCCAGAACGATATATGCCAGATTCCAGAATTTTGGACTGCAATTGCAAGGGACAGAACCAATACTAAAAAGTTTTCCAAAATTTTAATCAGTCTATTTATTATTCTCATAGGATCAATATTATACATTGTAACAAAATATTATGCGTTAATTATTGATTCCTTAAAGTAAACTAAAGTATAATCAAAGTATATGGCATATGAAGACTATGTCGCCTAGTTAGAACTTTTAAAGTTATCTGAAACCCCACATTTATTTATAGTCAGTCTTTTGAAATGTATTTCGATAAATCTAAATAATGCAAAATCAATTGAAATAAAATATTAATGAGCAAATTCATCGCAAAAACTACTTCATTCTGGTCAACTTTGAATATTATGAGTTGGCCCTAACTGATTTTGATGAGCTTTTAAAAATCTGTTTTGCTTAGTCTATTAACCTGAAGTCACCACAGAGGATAATAAAAAATTAGAATTATTGTCACATTTTTATATGTATTGATTTATGCCTGTCAGTTTTGTCACTGAATGTGTAGTGTTGATTTATTAAGTATCAGGGGTAATTATGACACAAACTGAAAAAACCTGAAAATTTTATGCGTAAAAACTCGATAAGATAATTTATTCATAGTTATATATTATTTTTATAGTTAAATTAGGAATCAATAAAGAATATCACTTTTATAGTAACAAATTTAAGAAAAAACTTAGTTCTTACAAGATTAGCGATATTGGAATAAAAAATCGAATGAATATTAACATTGGATTTTAAGAACGCAAAAATACAAATCGCATGATTGGATGGTTGAATTGCGTAATAAATATGAACCGCAATGCACATGATTTCTTAGATCCAGCGAATAGGAATAGCAACATCGGATTTTAAACTCGCTTTAATATGAATCACGACGTACGCTTTTTAAATTGGGTAAATACAAAAATTGATGCTAGATATTAAAATTGTGCGAATATGAATCTAGATTTGAGAATTCCGTCGTAGTTTCAAACATTAAAAACTATGAAAATCTGACAAACCAAAAATTATAACTGCAGAAGAGTCACATGTTTGAAAACACCTCGTTTACTCGATTCAGCGAAGGTTTCAAAATTTAAATTCTAGAATGTAGAACCTAATTCTTACTTTTTAAATTGCGGCGAAAATTTTATTGGATTATAAATTCTGATACATGGAAGTGTGCAAATCAATCTTCTTGAGAAATGCAGAATTCTGCAAAAAAAATTCCATGCCTTGCTATTAATTTCTAGACCTGGAGGACCTTCTTTCTTTTAAAAAACAACCCTGTACGAAGAATGGGTTTTCAAATGAAAAGGCAAATTACCTAGTTTTGCTTCCAAGGCTTCATCTTTGGGCTTTTGTATTTTAGGCTCTTCAACTGGCTTAGGGTAATAATTAAAATGGACATCATCCGAATAACTTTTTAGTTTGTCCGATTCTTCCCTGTCAGTTAAGAGTTTCTCAGGATTATCTTCATCAGAGTCATCACCTAATAGCACCGGGGTCAATTTTGACTTCTCTGTTGAAGTTTCAGATTCTTTTGCCTTTAATGAAAAACTTATAGGACCTATTTCAATTAGAAAGAAAAACAAGAATAAATTAATAGCAGAAAATAATAAAATTACGAATGAAATAAAGAAATCATTTAAATAAGGGATGCAATAATCAGTGATTATGATTGGAAATGAATATTGAGCTAAAACATAACTTTTTTACTGTTATCCACTTAACAAATTTAAAGGCAAGAGTCAACTGTTAACAGCACAGTCTACAGTTTAAGATACTTACGTTATAATTGAAGTAGAATATTTTTAACCTTATAAGTCTTGAAAAAAATAATGTGTTTTTGCTTGTTAAAATTAAGTAAGCAATTACATACCCTCCAACGGTTACGGAATTTCCGTAGTTTCAGAAATCTTCTTTTCAGACGGTAGCAAAATTAATGTCTTAATATTTAAAAAAATTTAATTTTAGCGTAACTTGTCCACTATTACTTATAAAAGTGCAGGCCATATGGCTAGATTCTTAAGTTCTGATAAAAGTTTTATGAGAGATCCATTTGCTTTAAAAATTTCTACTTTGGTTCGCTACCACTAGAAAGAATTATTTTCAAAATCCTCATAAGTTGGAGGGTATGCAATTATCAAAACTAATTCCAACCACAAGATTTTATCCTTTCTACACATTTGCAAAAAGAATAATTAATTATTCTACATCAATAAAGTGCATGAAGATCAACACAATTTTAAATCATAAAAATAATTGAGCTTATCAGTTTTTAAAATCAATACATGATAAAATAATCATGTATGTAAATAAACAATGGATGATAACTTTTAAATAACTTTGTTGTCTGCATAACAACAGATTATATAAGTCTAACAGATCAATTAACATTTTAAAAGTGAAAAAAAAAATTACCTATTTTCTTTTTTCAATGAATATAAAATCATAAAAAATAAAAGTAAAAATTATTCTTTTCATGTTAAATTACGAAATAGCATTTTTTTTTTTTTAAATAGCACTTTCAAGTTTACTGCTCAAAAGCTAGATTTGCTGATTTTAAAATTGCCTGGGCTATGGGGATGATCTAGCTTCTAGTCCAGTGTTTCCCAAACTTATGACTTTTGCGCACCCTTTCAAAATTTTTCCTAACGCTGTGTACCACTAATAAAATAATGAATGTATTTCGTACTATAAAAAAATTGCACGAAAGCTAAAAATCACAACAGGCTGTTGACACCACTAATTATTAACTGTTACCTCTGCAACAATAGCCAAAACGTAATCGTAAATTTTCATGGCTAGCTTTGTTTTTAAATAAAATGTTTTGCGAGTTTCGTTTATTGCAAGATATTTCGCTTAAGAACGCTTACCACCGCTAAACTGTTCCCGTACCCCTGGGGGTACGCGTACCACACTTTGGGAAACACTGTTCTAGTCTATTGGGACTATTTGAGATGGTTTTGAATTCATCCCTAATGATTGACAAGACAAAAAACTTGATTACCTATTCATACAGAACATTTAATGTCCAAATGACGAAGAAAATTTTATAAACTGCTAATAATTTTTTTTTCATTATGTAGGGAAATATACATAATTTGACTTTTAACTAATCAAGGTTTCCTTTGGTGAAAATTTAGTTTAGTTAAAATTATTTTTCGTTAAAAGAACAGTAATAATGAAAGTGAGTGTCATGGGTTCCACTCTAAAAAAATTTCAAAACTGAACTTATTTTTTGACCTATTAACATGGTCTAGCATTATTTTTCAGAAATTTATAACTCATTTTTCATAAAAATTGCTCACATATATATATTTTTTTCAATGAGTTAATTTATTTCTTGCTGTAAACAAAACAAAAATAACAGGTAACATCTTTTTACAATAATTGCTGAATTAAACTACTAAGCCTTTCTTGGAGCATTCCTACCTCTACTTTTTTTTCTTCATTTATATTGATATCATTTTGTCTTAGATCAATAATAGTTAATTTTTTAAAAATGTACCCTATTCTAACTTTGCACAGCATCTCAATATGAGGAAGGGGAATAGAAACTAAAGCAGATGTTTAGTCAATCCTATTCTTTTATTTTAGTGCGACATTTTTACTGGATCATTTTGCAACCATTAAGAAATAACAATGTTATTTTATAATTTTTTTAAATAGCTCTGTTTTTTAAAAAAATTATAATTCTTATTTTATTTTAACAAGCAATATGTCATTTTATTTAAGAAAGAGGAAATGTAATTTTTTTCCCAAAAGGTTAATTAAAAAAACAAACTGGAAATAAAAAATATTAATTGGAGGATGGAATTCAGACCACTGATCTTTTCTCAAGACTGATTTCAATCCTTGGGGGACTGAACAAAAGCACCCATGTATTTTTGATAGTTGTTAGATCTCAAAAATATACGCCTACGCGGTTTACCCTTATCACGCCCCCCACTCCACTTTGCATCTCTGTCCGAGAAGCAAGCATTCGTTCACTCAAGGAAGTTCACTTGTCAGCTCTCTCATGAGCTACCTTTCATTGTTTACTGCTATTGCAGCAGTCATAATAATTTTCTTCGTGTATATAGTTCATTTATGTTATTAAGTTTGTTTAATAAATGTTAAATCAAAACACTACAGTCCGCTTTCTAATACATACAATGCACTATAGTATTAAAAGAACATTTGCTATTATTAAAAATATTGTTGCAGGATTAAAAGACAATTCTGCTCCTGGGCCAAGCCTAAAAGTATTTCTTTCTTTCTTTAAAAAAAAAAAAGAAAAAAAAAAGGAAAAAAAAAAAAAAAAAAAGGTAGGGAACANAAAAAAAAAAAAAAAAAAAAGAAAGGTACGGAAAGCTTTCATTAATTTTTTTTTATTTCAAATGCTTTTCATGACTTAGCTAATTTCAGATTCCTCATTTCCAGTAACATCTGAAGGAGAATTTTAACTAATCAACATTTGTTTTTTGTAGAAATTCAGTTGCAAAACAAAAATTATTTGTCATAAAAAAACAGTAATAATTAAACAAGTTATTTATTTTTGATAGCACTAGCAGAACATATGCACTTATTAAAAATAGTGTTGCAGACAATTCTGCTCCTGAGCCAAGCCTGTGAGTTTTTTTATATTTTGAATGCTATTACAAACCTTTCAAGACTTTGCTAATTTTAGGTTTAGATCCTTCTTTTCCAGCAACATCTGAAGGAGAATTGAGAAAGTCCAGAGAATCACTACTATCCTGGCTACCCATCGGTTGCAGTTCAGGAGTTTCTTGTGAATCAAGAGAATATAGAGCATCATAATCTTCAATAATTGAACGCGAATTAACATTCCCCGAGTCTAGATTTTTTCGATTCGAGGACACATTTTCGGAAGGAACATCAGCATCACTTGTAACTGAAATGAATGGTATACCACTTTCCTTTCCTTTCAACCGTGGTTCAGAGCTGGGAGAAGTTGCACCAGCATTATTTTGTTCGTTTGATGAGCCACTGTCACGCTTCTTAGCATTATCTCTTTGGTAAACATAATAATTATAGTACTCATGTCCACTATTTAAAAAGTCAAAACGTTTATCCTCTGAAAAAATAAACAAAAACCATCATATTTATATGCATTTTAATTCTTAATAATTTTTTTTTTCATAGATAGCAAAATATAAATTCAGATAAGATTAAGTTTCATATAACATAGACTTAAAATGAAAAAATGCTTGTAGATTTTTACGAATTAGAAATTTTAAGCAAACTATTACACTACATAAAATATTTTCATGTAAATTAGAAAATTTTATACATATCAAAAATCAATAAAATACAAAATTCACTAAGAACACAAAAATTTTAATTGGCTTTAAAAAAATTTCATTTAAATAGAGGAATTTTTTATAACATATTTTAAATTCATGATTTTAAACAGTAACATATTAACTCATTTTAGACAATTAAAACTGTTTCTTAAATAACATTAAAAATAAGATAACTTTCAATATAAAAATGAAAGAAAAAAAAAAAAAAGTGTTGTGGAGAAACTGGAACTAGCAACACCCCCCAGCTGAAAACTAGAAAAAAAATCAGACAGTGAGAGAGTGCGAACAAACAGTAGAAAGCTCGCAACGCAGAGCTCCTTATTTTTTTCTTCTTCATATATGTTTTATACGTTATGTTTGTGAATGTGCTGAGTGCTAACTATAGTCATGTTGTTTACAATAAAATAAAGAGTTAGCTAGCTGGTTGTTTTAATTCTCCCCTATGCACCACACATCACAGTATAAAAATTTTGATTTTTGTTAAATCTTATTTTTATAAATATGAAGTTGAAAATCATTGCAATTTAAATACTCTAAGAAGAAACTAACTCAATAAAAATTCTACTTTTCTAATCTTCAAATATCTATTTTCAGGTACTTTTTCAATTTCATAGAATTTTCTAAAATGTGAAAACCAGATTTATTGATAAAATTAGAAGAATAGAAAAAAAAATGGGACAATATAGTTGGCAGATAAGAATCACAATAGTTATCATTGTTTTAATAAATATAAATCACAAATGCCTTACTTCTGCTTTTGACAATAGTCTCGAAATCTTCCCCATTCTTGGCCACATACTCTGCCATTTTATTTACAATAGGTTGAATGTCAGGTGGAGGAGGTACAATATGATGACTCTGAAGTGCCATTAAGTTACGGAAATCACTACTTTCTTGATTGCAATCAGCAGGCATAGATTTCGAATCTGAAATTAATTTTTTTTGAAGTCTTTTGATGGCATAAAATTAGCCAAATTAATAAATAACAGGGTTCATGCATTCAAGACTACATATATGTAACATAAAAAGCTTCAACTAATCTTTTTCTTAATTTATAATTCTAAACAAAACGCTCTTTCACTGCAACACTTTAATATTTACATCCTGTCTTTTAATCCATTTTTAGTTCAAGAATGCATTAATTAACATTTTATCCTCTTTCCTTTTTCTAACGTGTGATAAACATATTTTTCCCTCATCCTATTTAATAGACCAATTATAAATATTAAGATTTCTCTTTTTCCTTAAAACAAAACATTTTAACTAATTTACTCCGCAAGATTTTTTCTAACTTTTGTCGACGAGCACTTTGATTTTCTGTCACTTGGATGATTGTTCTCTCTCTAATAGTTATTAAATAAATATTGTGCCCTCTTTATCTGACTAAGACCTGCTTTTATCCTTCCTCTCTCGGCAATGACGTTATATATATATGTGTGTGTTGTTCTACCGCCTGAACTGAAAAGCTAATTTCCCACTTTGAAAACAACGAACTATTGCTGAAAAACATTCAACTTCAAAAGGCCAATCCTCCCACCTTAACTGAAAAGCCAATTTCCCGCTTTGAAAATAACGAACTATTGCTGACAAATGTTCAACTTCAAAAGGCTAATCCCACCACCTATGGTACATTTCCAGATCTAAATATCTTCTACAGCGAAAAATCAACAAATCAAGAGGCCAATTTCCCCGCCCAATTGTCTAAAGAAATATCTTCTACAACAAGGGCTAATTCAACCGCCTGTGTGACCAATTTTCCCATCCACAATTAAGAAATTTCTTCATCGACATTCAACGAACTAGGAGATCCATACTTCTCTTCTACATAAGCCATACAGGCTCTTCTACTTCTACATTCAACGTCAACAACAATAAAAGTGAACTAGCGAATTTTTATCATCGTAGTGACACTGTGACATTCAATACAACCATTAGTGAATACTTAACTCAACAAACGGATAGCTTGTATAAGTGAAAACAACGTCAACAAACACCGATATCTTCAAACCAGGTAGGATCAATCCTTTTTATTATCAAGCATGTATCGAAATACTAAAACAGAAGATTTAATTAATACCGTCAAGGAATTAGGAATAGATGTTCCAGATAATGCCACCATTATTTCTTTAAAAAAAAACGTATAGAAAAAGCAGAACAATGCGCAAAAGAAAAAATCAAGCTAGCCCAAATCGAAAAAGAAATCGAATTAGCATCAATTAACTCCGGGTCATATCAAAATAATTCCGGAAACACAAATGCGGTGATTAGAACTTCATCTTTAGATCTCGAAAGTCTAACTAAATCAGTTAAAACACTTAGTATGCCGATTCCTACTAAACCCGAAAATTTTAACTTATTCTTTCATTCTTTAGAACGTGCGTTAACAACCAAAAATATTCCGCCAGAATTCAAATCAGAAATATTAATAAATATTCTCGGTGAAAAAGCGAATAGTATTTATTTATCAGCAAAGTGCTCCATTACAACTCCACTGTGATGCCAGTGCTAAAGGATTTTGTGCTATACTCCTTCAAGAGGATTCTGATAACAATTTCCATATCATACAATACATGAGTCGTTAAACTTCTCCCCAAGAAGAGAAATATTCCAGCTACGAATTAGAAGTTTTAGCCATAGTTACAGCATTAAAAAAATTTCGACACTATCTCATAGGCTCAAAATTCCATATATATACAGATTGCCAGGTGTTTCAAAAGACAATGGCAAAAAAAGATCTAACACCCAAAATAGCACGGTGGGCACTCTTTTTAGGAGATTTTGATTACGAAATACTGCATCGTCCAGGTAAACGAATGCAACATGTAGATGCTCTTAGCCGCTATCCAGTTATGGTCACACAATATAACGAAACAACACAGAAAATAAGAGAAGCACATATCAGTGATGAGTTTACAGCAAGAATAAAGCAACTAATTAATATTTCTTCAGCACCTGATTAGACATTAAAAAACAATGTGCTTTACAAAATAGTCAACGATCAAGAACTTTTGGTAGTTCCACTTGACATGCAAAAACAAATCGTACATGCAAAAACAAAACATTCTAAAGGACATTTAGGCAGAAATAAAACGGAAAATTTGTTAAAACGACAATTCTTTTTTCCAAACATGCGAAAGAGAGTAGAAAATGTTATCTCTAATTGTATACAGTGCATACTTTCATCCAAAAAATTTGACAAAAAAGAAGGATTTCTATATCCAATTCCAAAAGGTAACGTACCACTTGACACCTTACCATACTGACTTTTTAGGACCTCTACCCTCAACAAACAAAAACTACAAATATATTTTTACTGTCGTTGATGCTTTCTCAAAATGTCTTTGGATTTATCCTCCAAAATGCACTTCAGTCCATGATGCTTTAGAAAAACTTAAACTCCAACAAACAACATTTGGAAACCCAAGAAGGATAATTTCTGATAAAGGAACAGCATCCACTTCAACAAAATTTCAAAAATATTGCGAAGACATAGAATTCCTTTCAATCACACCTCGCGGAAATGGACAAGTTGAAAAATGTCATTGATACCAATACTGACAAAACTCTCACTCGAAGATCCAAATAAATGGTACAAACATCTGCACAATGAGTAATTAACAGCACAGTTTCAACCGCTACCAAATATACGCCATTCGAGCTTTTAACAGGCATCAAAATGACATCAAAATTAAGGCCATCCTCGAAGAACAAAATTTCCAGTTGTCATTACAAAATAAGCAACAAATGAGAGAAGATGCCAAAACAAATATTTTAAAGTTTCAAGAGCAAAGTAAACAGCGGTACAACCGAAGACATAAAGAAGCAAGGAAATACAACATAGGTGACAAGATTGCTATTAAGAAAACCCTATTTCGTGTAGGTAAGACCCCTTTAAGAAATTGTGAATGTTCGACCCAATGACAGATATGTCAAGAAGATTGGAAGACATGAAGGCCCAAATCTCACATCAGCTGATATGATGAAACCATGGGACAATTCCTAAAAACATTTTTATTTCATAAACTGTGGTCCCACAATTCACATAGACATTGCATAGACTCTTTTTTTTTCCTCAACTAAAACAGTGATTTTTCAATTTTTTTTTCAATCAAAAACTATTGACTTTTTGTATTTTTCCCTTTCAGCTTTCTGCAGCTAAAAGAACATTTCAACTTTAAAAATTTTGTTTTTTAGAATTTCAGCTTGGCCGGGGACCCATCAGGATGGACAAGTGCTGCATACGCCATGCAGCGTCATCTACATTAAAGCAGACTCCCTCTACACTCACTGACGGGACAGCAACAGGGAGACGGCTCCAAAAGATGTTCCAGCTCTAATTATTTTGTATTGTCTTTTAAGTGTTTTTTTCATAATAAAAACTTTAAATGCAACCCTAGACTGCTTTGAAGCTTATCATCGACACTCCCCGTCCGTAACACACACACACACATATATATATATGTATATATATATACAGTTTCTTTGTCTTTGCCAGTTTCAAAATTACAAGGTAACAAGTGAACAGAGTAGTACACAGCACATAAACGCACCTGATCAACAATAGTGAAACAATTTTCAAAAAAAGAATCAATCAAAGAAATCAATCAAAGAGATAATAATTACCATCACTAGAATTTTCCTCCAGAATTTCTGGCTGTGGAGTTTCTTCCATTCGATGTTGTTGTAAATTTTTCACCAGTAAAGAATAACTGTCATCATCACTTCGACGGAAATTGATAGTTGGAACTGTAAACTATTAATCAAAAATATTTAAAAATTAATACAGCATTGAAAAAAAAAATAGAAAATAGTTTTTTTTCTTCTTATAAAACATTTCAATTTGAATTCATCCATTTTTATTTACAATAACATAACTTAATTTTAATAATAATAACTTAATAGCTACCTTACCTGAAAGATCTGTTTTCTTTGTATTTATGTTCCTAGATCATTTTTTCCCTTCAAATTATTTTTATTTCTATTAAAAATTTAATGACTATATATATATATATATACATATATATATTTTTTTTCAAATGGAATCCAAATTTTTTAAAAAATAAAATGTCATTACTGCAAAATTGAGTTTGACACTCAATTTGAAAATAGCTGCTTATGAAAAATTTTTAAGTGTATCACTTGTTTATACTTGCAGCAAAGCTAGCCTCCAAGAATTATCAATGTTACGACCTGTTCACATAATTTTCTAATGGTTTTACGAAATGCTTTTCATCGCAAAATCTGGCAATTTTTAATATTAAAATAATTTATGATGAAAAGTTTAATTAGAATATGACAGTTTAATAAATAATAGTCAAATACAAATTCATATTCACTACTTATATTTATTCCAATTTACAGCACTTTCTATAGATTTTTCAGGTGAATGAGAAGTGAATTTACTTGGAAAATTGGTTCTACAATCACATAAATTATCAGTATTAATTTAAACAAAATATAAAAAGGGATAAACACATAAATTGTCAAATTGCTTAAACACCTTTTCAAAAAAAGAGGGTGGAATATACACTAGTAATTAGTAAATAATGCCTAATAATTCTGTTAAATTAATAATCTTTACATGATCACATGTTGATTTTATTAAAAAAGTACCAAGCTGGCAAAAAAAAAAAAATTTAAAAATTATCTTGTATATATTGACAACTTGTCTGAACCATCAAATTATTGTCTTAATAAGTGGTCAACTTACATAGGTTTCAATGCACCATTAAAAAAAAAGTCTTACTTTGGGTACATCATTTGCCTTTCCAGACATCAAGCTAGGATGTAGATAGTGACCATCATCATCTTCATCTTCACTACGGCTTACTAAAAAATATTACAATAAAAATAACTTAAATTATTAAAATTAAAAATTATTAGGAATTTTTTTTAATAAGTTCAGTTTCTAATCTGGATAGCCACTCTGCACACAAAAACTCATTCTAGAGAAATACCAAACATTTTACTGATTTTAGAGATGCATTTATGTTTAAAAAAAAAAAAAAAAACATAGAAAATTTTTGCGGAACTATCATGCAAAAATTCATCTAAGAAATAATTAGCTATCCCATATCAATAAGCTTATGAAGTTCTATAAATTAAGTGTTAATAACTAAAATATTTGAGCTTATCAATTCTTAGGAGCATACAGATTTCAATTACATTGAATGATATACTGATAATAACAAGTTGTTTATCATCTTGTAAATAGACAACCAGGAATGAGAGTAGTCAGAGAATAAAAAAAAAGGAAATCCATGAATATATATATACATACATATATAATAAAAAAACACAAACAAAGGCAAGAAAAGTCTATGAACATATTTATATATATATATATATATATGAATATATGTATNTATATATATATAAAATGTAGAAGCTATGATATCCAAAAATTTGACAAAAAAAGTGTGATTTTCAAACCATGTGATTATAAATCCCGTTGATTAATTTTAAAATTGTTTGAATATGAATCATATAAATATGAATTATATGCATAATTTTAAAATCATGTGAATATGTATCGCAATATTTAATTTCAAATTCAGAGAATATGCAGCTCGATGTGTGGCTTTTAAATCACTTGACTATGAAACTAGATATTGGATTTAAAAATTGCGAAAATACAAATCATGATGCTTAATTTTTAGATTGCATAAACATGAATCACGATGCAAAATTTTTTAAGCGCGTGAATACAAATCACAATGTCTAATTTTTAAATCACAGATAAATAGGAAAATTGATGTTTGATATTACAACCACATAAACGAATCTCTACATTGGATTTTAAACTAGCGTGAATACGAATCGCTACATAGGATTTTAAAAATTTGTAAATACAAATAGCGATATTGGATTTTTAAATCGTAAGAATTGCAAGGTACAATATTTAAATCGCGTGAATAAGAATCACAATGCGCAACTTTTAAATCAAGTAAATACAAAAATCGATATTTGATATTAAAATCACGTGAATAAAAAACAAGATATTAGCACATTCTGAACTTGGGATAGGCTTGTTTGTATTGCTTTTGTTTGGCCATAATATATAAAAATTTACAAAATTAATTGAATGAGCAAATAAATATTTTCACTGCAAATCCACCGCTATTTTCTTTTATTATTTCGCCAGCAAACAGGACGCAGCGAGACGTCTGAATTACGAAAATACGAGCTGTCTGGCGGGCGGGCAAAAATACGAAAAATCTTATTTTTTGCTTGTATAAGCGAAGAAAATAGCTAAAATAAGTAAAAATGAGAAGGAATGGCAGCTACGCAGATTGGATTTCATGTTTATGCATGAAAATCAGAAATAGATAAAAAAATTTTATTTGAACGACTGAATTTCCAGAAAAAGCGGAATATTTATTTTAAATTTTTCTTTTATTTTTTTTTATAAGAGAATCTAAGTTTTTGATAAAAAAGGCTGAAATTTGAACAATAATAGCGGGAAAAAAAAGCAGAAATCCGCTAAAAAGCGGAAAAATCTCATCCCTAGACTAACATCCCAAGATAACTTAGAAATGAAAGAATAAACCTGTTTTTTGTTGTTTATTTTTAATGAATCAATATACAGTTTAATAGAACTAGTAATATTTATACTGTGGCAAACTCGAACATCATGCATGCAATGTAGTAAATTAAATCGTATTATAATCTTTGCAGTTTCAAAAAAAGGAAAAGAGAATAAGATTAAAGTAGAAAACATTACTATAGAATCACATAATCATGAAACCCTAAATTTAAAGATAAACCTGAGACCTTTACTAAAACAAAAATATTTTTTTAGAATACAGGATCGCAAACTTTTTGAGTGAAGGACCACTCACCAACCAGGAAGGGGGTATTTAGACAGGTTGAGGACAAATATGAAAATTTATACATACCCATCCATGTTCTAAGTACACAAAATCCGTTTTATTATTCAACTTAGTAAAACATTTGCAGAAAATTAAATACTTTTACACATAAAAAAAAAAAACTTTTTAGCATAAAAATTAAATTCATCAAAATATAAACAGAAGAAAAGGATTTTTTTAAAAATCAAATCACAAAAGTTCCTTTAAAAATAAATTCAAACAATAAAAAAAACTGCAATGCTCATTTAATAAAAGTAAAAAAATTAAAAAAAATTCAATACTTAATAAGCAACATGAATTTAAATAAATCTTTTAATGAAAGAGAATTTATAGGGTTTAAAATGATTTAAATTTTTAAAAAAACATTCTAGTGCAATATAGAATTCAATATTTAGTTGAGTTTATATTACACCTTTAAGATATTTATATTCATATTCAGTGCAAGGTTTTATGTTAAATAGTAAATGTTTTCTATTTTTGCTGAAAAAATGATCGAGAAATAACTTGGATTTCAATGAAATTGGTATGAATCAAATAAATGGCATCAAAAAGATATTATTTAAATGTGTGATTAAAAACATGCGTGTTGTAATAATAATAGGACCTTTAAAATCATCAATAACTGCAAAAAAGGGGGAAAAAATCAAGCAGATTTACGGTGAAGTCTGCACAAAGGAAGAGCATAAAAATGTAAGTATTTAAATGCGGGATTTAAAACTCGGGTGCTGTAATAATATATTAAAATATAGGGAGTTTGAAAACAAAACTGCCGGAAAATGATCACGAATGATTATATAATGGACGATTCGAAACTCGTGAGTCGTAATAATGTATTAAATGAATAGAGGTTTAAAAAAAACATATAGAAATCAGTAGTAATAACTGCCAAAACAATTATCAAAACACTGCTCGGATTTATGATGGTAAAATATATCGCTCAAATTCAAAATTAATATATCCTATTAAAAATATTGAGATTTTTAAAACCATGTGGAATTCTGTAACACAGAAGGCTGAAAAATGTCACAGATATATGATGGAATCTGCACAAATTGAGCATGTAAAAAGTGATGACTCAAATGAGCAATATTAAATTTTCGATATTTTTTTTATTGTAATCAGATGTTTGCGTTGCCAAGAGTTTGTGGGCAGCAGGTTGAGCACCACTATTTTTGATTTACAAGAACGAAATTTTTTAAGAATTTTTTATAAAGAAAACACCGATGACAAGAAAAATAAATAATGGTAAAACTGGTTCAACTTTCATAAGATTTGAATCCTTACATGAAACAGTTTTAATGTTTAATAATGAATTACAACACATTAGAGTTGAAATTGTGTGAATCATTTTATTAATCACTAACACTCAATGTTTTTCAGAGTTGATAAGAGAATTTCTGTGAGAATTCCAGGTATTTTTGTTCTAGAGAGAGAGTGGCCATCCTTCTAATAATAAGATTTACATGTTTTTTAACAGATTAAACTCACCTTTATGAACTAATGCACATGCATCATATCCTTAGATAAGCATATGGAAGAAATAAACAGGTTTACATATAGTCTAACGAGCAATTTGAAATAAATTTAAAGCCTAAAACACTTGACACAATGTAAAAAAATAATGCAATTTTTTAGATGACGCGTCACAAATAAAACTGTCTCCTTTTTTAATTTTTTTTAAGGAAGCGCAAGTATTAAAATTCTTGAGAAAAAAAAGTATCTTTCAAGTATTCTGAATAAAAAAATAAAAAAAAATATTAATGCTTGTTTTTTTGCATTAAAAGGCACAGAACTTTAGTAGAGCCTAATAATCTTGTATAAAAAGTTGTTCGACAGTTACAACATACAAGAGCAAGTAACAATCTAGGAATTGCTAAGAGCCAAATTTTACCAAATTGAAACAAAACAAAAAATTTTCTCACAGACTTAATAATGAGTGATTTGGCAGGGCATTTTATATCTTTAATATAATTCTTAAATAAATTTGTGAATTACATATATTTTAAACGTAACTTGACAAACAAACAAAAAATTTGATGTGAAAAGATTTAAATGTTTTATGGCTTTCAATAATGCCTCCACATTTTTAATTTGAATGATAAAATTTAAGAGCTTTTTCAAGCTTTATTGAAATCAGGGTTGGCAGGTTTTTGACATGTGACAGTTTTTGACAGTTTAAACCATGGTTTAAACCGTCACGTCAAAAACCTCACTGTCAAAAATGTCGAAAATGTATATTCATATGTGAAATTTAATTAATACATAAAATTTATATATTTTTTATAAAGGATAGTGTTTCTAAATATGTTCTAGAAAAAACAAATTTAAAATTTTGAAGAAACACTTATATTTTGAATAGTAACCAAAATCTTGTACTTTTGAAAGCTCACATCTTTTGTAATATTATGTATTCATTTTCATGTGTTATTGAAAATCTGCAGTGATATTAT